CTAGCAGATAGTAGATCAAACATTGTAGGTCATTTGAAAAATGAGGAAAATTTTATTTTAAGTTCGTTTCGTAGTCTGTGAGCTAGTTGTTTTAAGAACTCGTTTCTAGAGAAAGAAAATGCACGATTTACGATTACTGGGTAGTGTGATTATATATAAGGAGATTTTTGGTACTGTTTGACTGTTTGGGATGGTTACTCTAAAAAGTAACTGCGTTCTTTTTCTAGCAGATAGTCTAAATATTGTAGTATGCGACTGAACGTCATTTTAAAAATGGAGGAATTTTATTTTGAGTTCGTATCGTAGTCTGTGAACTAGTTGTTTCAAGAACTCGTTTCTAGAGAAAGAAAATGCACGATTTACGATTATTGGGTAGTGTGATCATGTATAAAAGGATTTCCGGTGCTGTTTAACTGTTTATATATATATATATACATATTTTCACAAAGTTCTGAAACAAAAACTTTATCAGACATTATTACATCTGAAACAAAAACTCTATCAGACATTATTACATCTGAAACAAAAACTTTATCATTATATATATATATAATGTCTGATAAAGTTTTTGTTTCAGAATTTTGTGAAAAAATTGCCTTTCAAACGCAATTAATTTTTGACGCGGCAGAGAAAATTGGAAATTTTCTAGTACATGATTTGGTGTGTGTGATAAGAGACGAAGGTTCATGTCGAACATTGCGCATTGCAGTAAGGTGGATTCGTCAGTGAATACGGCAAGTATTCCTAGTAAAGTACTCGATAAAGAATTGTTGAACAACTTTCCGGGAAAGAAATCGTACAACAAATTTCGAGATTTCGCTGTAAAGAGGAGACTTTCATCTTCGAAGATTCACGATGGATTCAGTTGTGAAAAAAATTTCTACCTAATTAAAATTAAGGTTCGCAAGGACTTTCGAACTTGCAAAATTTTCATTTATCCTCCTCGAAATGATGTTGAGAAAATTTCTTTGAAAGAAACGAAAAATTCTAAGTGAAAATGTAAAAACTGTACAAAAAAAATGAAGTTGCGCTGTAAAAGCAAAGACTTTTCGCGCTTTAAAATAACCTTTTCTTTCGCGAAGTTGCAAAAGTTTAAAGACACCGAGAATTTTTCATCGAATATACGAGATACACTTTCCGTATCCACTACGGTAGCTTAATATTCGAGCATACACGTATGGAAACTTTTTACGAATGTAAGAACTGTACGTGTTACTCGAAACGTTTCGAACGAACGAATGATTGATTTCCTTAACAATTTACTACGTGGTTGACTTTCTCTGACGTGGAAACGTGACGTATAATAAAATAAACGAAATACAATTTTGTAAATTACATCTGCAACACCAGATTGTAATACATTTTATAAACTACATCTTCGGGTACGAAATCATGATCACTCTGGTATTAAACATACGGCAGTAAATTTCATACCAATAAAATAATAAATTTTAATAAACACAACACAGTAAAAATTCAAATCATTCCCTCAGCATCTATCGTGCAACGAAGAAAAAAAAAAAGAAAAAAAAGAAAAAGAAAAAAAAAACAGTTTTACAACTCTCATTACGATGTTAATCAAATTTCAAAATGTTTCGAGTATTCATAATATTCACAAACGTGAAATAACTCGATCCGACAGATGACAACGCAATGTGCATAGAGCATAAATTTCTCAACGTGTTCAACACACACTGCGCCGATTACTCTCGTCACGTGACCGTTCGTCAGTATTCATTTGCCAGGAAAAAAAGGCCGACAGTTTTGTACGAACGAAGTTTGTATAGCTGCCGCTGGATTACGGCCACGTAACACCATCCGAAATCAGACTTGAGATCGAACGCGGAGATCGTCTCGTGTATCTTGCCTAGTTCGCGAGCATCGCACTCAACCCAGTTGTTCCAAGTTAATGGAACTAAATTATTCACCGATCCACCGAACTTGCGCGTTCCTCACTATCTATACTTCAGCCCGTTCCAACGATTTTTATACCGATACCACGCTGAATATTCAACAGAAAGTGATTTTTACGCCGTCGAGTATAATTTTGTTGTCCCGCGGTGTTCGACTCATTAAAATCCAATCACCAACCACTTACGCAACGTGTGGTGGTAATTTGCAATTCGGAATCGACTTTTCAACGCTCCGGTTTGCGGAAGAAAATATTCAAGAATATTGCAATCGAAACTGCCGTATTTTCTCAGTTTTATGTATATTTAAATGTATTTAATATATTTAAGTTAATATATATTCAATTTAAGTTATAGATATATATAATATATATTATTATAAAATTATTATTATAAAATTAATATATATATAATTATATATATAAATAATATATATTTAAGCTTTAAGTATATTTTAAATATATTTAAGTATAATCTCAGGCAAAATAAATAATAAATTTATTACTTATTAATAATTTCTATCCAGTGATATCATAGCGACGAGTTGAAAAGGAAAACGACGAANTTATTGTGTACGGGTTTGGTCACTCGTTATGGTCCGCAATCAGTTGCCAGCGCAAGAGGTTAACCAAACTGGGGTTTTTTTGCCCCAAAAGTGCAATATTTCCTCAGTTTTAAGTATATTTAAATATATTTAATATATTTAAGTTAATATATATTTAATTTAAGTTTTATATATATATAGAATAATATATATTATATATATATATATAAATAATATATAATTTAAATTTTTTACCTCTACTTAACCTGTCGTTTAACACTTGGTTGGCGATGAATGGACACGAGAAATTACTCCTTAAATAGCAATATTAATCGCTGGAGGCTCGTGTCGTCGAAATGTCAGTCGTATCGACTCGCGAGGACGGGAAAAAGGAGGCGCAATTTATACGTTGTGTGTGTCGTTAATGCTAAAAGGCAACTCCCTTCGGCCTTTTCGACGCGTCCGTACAATAACGCCCTGATGGAAATAATAGTCTTCAGCAGAAAGAAAGAAAAAGAGGGAAGAAAAATAGGTCATTCGGAGTAACACATCCAATCAAGCAATAATAGTGGCAACCTTGGAGAGGGATGAAACTGGGGCGAAAAGCCCAACGGCAAGTAGAGATTCGGGATACGAAAATTGGAAGCTCGATACCGAAATTTTTCCTCGAGATGCCGAACTTTTCACCTCGTTCTGAATTATTCACTGTCCCCCGATTCAGTATCGGAGTATCTTTAAATTTCTATACGTACAATACACGGGATACGTACGAAGGTGTCACGTGCATTACTTTCATTAAAATCGAACAGCGTGCGTCCGATGTAAAATGACTTTATTGCAACTGATACAAAAATCGTGGGTCGCAAAAGGTATTCACAGTGACATTCTCGAGATTTTTGAAAATTAATCCATTTTCTCGAAGACTTTCCGTGGAAAATACCAACTTACTGACGAAGATTAGAGGAGGAAGATGTTGACCGTTTGCGCGGACCATAACGAGTGACCGAATCAACAACTCGTATACAACAACTTGTCGCTTTCTTTTTCTTTTGAACTCGTCGGTGTTATATCACTGAATGGAAATTATTTAAGAAGTAATAAACTTATCATTCGTTTTGCCTGGGTTATAATCAAATATACTTAAAACTGTGAAAATGTTGCAATTTGGGACAAAAAGTTCCAGCGCAAGAGGACAATTTGAGCACAATTCTGTTGATCTTCTGATCTTAATGTTTCGTGGTTACGTAACTAAATTAATTCAACGTAATTAAAAAAAAAAAAAATGTACGTTCGTTTTTATTTTTTTGCAGACAAAATACGCAAACGTGAAGACGGAAATGCCCAGTGTGAGGATACAATATATGAGATTTGATGAATATTTAATTAACTGATGTCTAAATCAATATTTACGAAGTTCAACGAGCATTTTCATCGCAAACATGATATTTTGATACAGTAATATCATGTTTATTCAGGTTTCATTCCCCTGTAACTTTTGCATGTGTAGACAAGAACGTTTATGTATGTATATCTATAGACAAATCTAATTTCTCGATTTCGATGTCGCTCGAACAACTTGCGAATACAAGTTTAAAGAGATAGAAAATAGAAGACATCGTATCACGAAATCCAACCTATCGGACGTCACATAAATGTGAAATCGGGCGAAGAATCATTTTTGAAACGTTCAATAAAACGCAAAAATAGAAATAGAAATCGAGGTAGAATGACAAATTTGACAACGTGGATTTACTTATTAGATTAGTATCAAGTTTCTTGCTAGCGATTTTCGTATTAATACGCTACGTGATTCTTTCTTTTCTGTTTTTCCAAATTTACTCGAATTTAAGGCATGGCGAATTTAAGCTGATTCAACTTAAAATAATATAAGCGATATCGTATACAAGAAAATATAAATATAACGTGTAACAAAATACATGTAAATAATAGATGATAAATATAATTAATGTATAAAATAATAAAAATATATAAATGTAAAATAATAAAAAAATATAAATATATAAATAACAAAAATAGATAAGTATAAAATAATAAAAATATATAAATATAAAATAACAAAAATATATAAATATATAAATAACAAAAATATATAAATATATAAATAACAAAAATATATAAGTATAAGATAACAAAAATATATAAATATAAAATAACAAAAATATATAACTATAAGATAAAAAAATATATAAATATAAAATAACAAAAATATATAAGTATAAAATAATAAAAATATATAAATATAAAATAACAAAAATATATAAGTATAAAATAATTAAAATATATAAAAATAATAAAAACAAATATAAAATAACAAAAATATATAAATATATAAATAACAAAATACAATAAAATAGAATAAAAAGCACAAGTTTCTAACAATTGCATAAACAGCAGAACATCTGATACCCGATAGTTGCTGTTAATCTCCTCTTAATGATTTGCGTTCAATGACAAAAGAAGAGAACGTGACGTCCGATATTCATAATGGGTAATAGATAAAACACATTGACGACGATGCAACGAATAATTTAGTCACAAAAACGTACGTGCACGAGGACGATGTATAAAGAATCGTCCGGGTCATTGAATCGTTTTAACCCTACCGATCCCCCCCCCCTCCCCTCCTCTAATCTCATTTACGAAACTATTCTATTATTTATGAGGAAATCGGACCATCTCTAACGCAATAGAACTGAAAAAATACTCGTTCACGCCAGAAAGATCACGCGGTTTCGAGTCAAATAACATCGCCTCAATTATTCAACATGATAATCAGGTTATCATCTCGTTCGTTTTTAATCGAACGTAATTTTTTCTCGGACAAAAGCAAAAATATCTGGTTACACGTTGCAAACACTACGAATTGAAGAATTGAAGAATCAGTATTTTATGTCATATTCTGCGTCGCGAAGTAATGCGAAGTACGATCCGCGGTTATTTGCACAATTTGCCTGAATATAAATTTAATATTATATTTAATATTATATATTTGCATGAATATAAATTTAATATAATATTAAATTTAAAAATTTAAACGTGGAAACTGACAAATAGAAAATTATATTGTTTATTATATAAATTTATATAATTTATCTGATTTAATTTATTTGTTATATAAATAATTTTATATACAAATTTATTATACAAATATATCGAAATTTAGTTTGAGAGGAAAAAATACGTAATTATTTTAATATACATTTTTGAGAATTACAGTGAACTTGGACAGTTCACTTCTTGCAAACTAAATTAACGTCCATTGTTATAAGAAATTTGTAACATTTTTCAAATCGCGGAAAAATCGCAGCGGCGAATGAAATTATAACTTCGTCAGGAAACAAATGAAATCGCCACAAAAAAAATACTGTTTCACAGCTTCGCTCAGATTAAATCAAACTGCACAAATAAAATTTCGTGAAAATTTTTTCTGCCATTTGTGTCAATTGCTTTTTCTAACTTGGAGAAAAATAAAGGAAAGAAAAAAAAAAAAAAAAATTGAGATCATTTCGAATCACGATAGGGAAAAGTATCTACTTCGGCACGTGTAATATCGTCGCGTCGGGAGGGTGGTTTCGAAATTCCGCAAGAAAAACCCCTGCCCATGTAGACGGTGGTGAGTCACAGACCGTAAGTGCTGCGATTCAATCTGCGAAAGCTGCGTAGAAACGCGCCACGAACCGCGCCCATCTTCGTTACGAACGACGTCCCGGAAAAAAAAAAAAAAAAAAAAACCTATATGACGATGGCTCCACGTTTTTCCCCCTTCTTCTCCCTTTTTCTCTCGCTCCATTTTTCTTCCACGTCTTCTTCCCTCCTTTTCCGACGCAGCACTTTCGAATCAATAATCCTGAACAAGGACCAGCCTTTCTTTAACCGTAGGAATTCAAAGGCCACCCCTTTTGTGTCTGCATTCCGACTCTGGCAAAGAGAGCCCCGGAAGGCCTTTCAGCCCTCTTTCTCATTTTGCAACGCGTCGAGCGATCTTACGACTAAATGCATGAGAAAACGCAGGTATAAACGTTTACGTGCAGAAATCGACCCGGAAGAGAAACACGTATACAGACGTGTACCTGTCAAACTGCAACGATTACATCCTCAAGTAGAAGGTTCGATTATTTTTCGCAACCTTTCGTACGAACCCTTCGAACCTGTTAGTTTTTCTAGTAACAAAATTGCAATATTTCCCCAGTTTTAAGTATATTTAAATATATTTAATAGATTTAAGTTAATATATATTTAATTTAAGTTTTTTATATATATATATATAATTTAAGTTCTTATATATTTTAATATATTTAAGTTTTAAGTATATTCTAAGTATATTTAAATATAATCTCAGGCGAAACAAATACTAAATTTGTTACTTATTAATTATTTCTATCCAGTGACATCGTCACCGACGAGTTCAAAAAGAAAGCAACGAATTATTCTACACGGTCTGGTCAGTCGTTATGGTCCGCGAATCGGTTGCCAGCGCAAGTGGTTAAAACCATCATTTATTATGAAAAAAAAAAAAAAAAAATTTAAGAAGCTTTCACATATTTAATATTTCCG